ATTATGGCCCGGTTCTATAAATTCAAAATGGATAAAGCCCCTCTTAGAAAAAAGTGTAGAGCTCGAGAGAAATATAAAGTATGCATGAAGATGGAAACAACGATTATTGTAAGACCAGCTCGCAGTGTGCAGAGAAATTGTCATAAATTACGTAATTGACCATTTATACATAAGTGCTAATAACAAGACCTATTATAAAGTTTTCTTTACGGTAAATTTTTTCACAGATAAGTATGTACATATTAAATATTTTTTTACTTTGAAACGTATGGCTTAAATTATTTTTTAATGTTCTAGTTGATTTCTGCTGACAAAAAAAATATGTACTTGCCACTTCTGCAAATTATTTTTATGATGATATACGTTATGCACATCGGAACTCATATATTTATTTTTTGTTTCGTAGCTGAAAAACTGCAGGATGAGGTATTTTTAAAGATAATCATATGTATTTATTGGTACCTCTACTCTTATCCGTAAACTTTCCCCTAAAACTTGTACTCAATGCCCGACTAGTAGATAAATCAATCTAAAAAATTAGTACCACTTTTTTTGTATTGATCATTTTGGTTAATATTGTCGTCCTTAAACTTGAAAAAAAAATCGTTTTAAAATACCCAAAAAATCGTTTTGAAATGGTTGACAAATTGATTTGTAATATATAATATTATCTTATTACTTTACATAAGGTTAAAAAATATAATATTTACTTGGATACGATATTAAACTATAAAAATGATCTCCAACTAAAATCTTATAGTTAAAATTACACTTTCTGCTTTGGCAAACCGTAGATTACTCGTGCATTAAATGTAAGACTTAATCTTAACTATTTGCGTAAATTTAGTCACTTGTTTATTTTAAAACTATATCCCAGCTTTTGTTCCGTAACTTTGTCTAAAAATATTAATCCTGTATACGTATCTATTTATGTGTTTTATTAATTTTAATATGTTTATTTTTCGGAGGCTTTTTTATAATTTCTCTTTGTATCTTTTTTTTTTAATTTAATTTTTTCTCTATTCATAAATTATTTTTGGATTAATATTATAACTGTGGTATTACGCACATTCTAATTAGACTTGTAATAGATTTTACATCTCTTGTTTTCATTAAGTCATCAATGTATAATTTTGTCATTTGCTATAACTTTTAGTGATAAATTTATTTCAACAAACTAATTCTGAGAATTATCTTGTTTTAGAGCTTGTTGATTCGTGAATCTGCATATAATTTCCAATGGTACGAGATGTCACCAGAAAATTCGAAACTTCTGTTGCTGATAATTCAAAGATCACAAAAACCATTAGTAGTGACAGCAGGAAAATTTTGTTCCTTTTCCTTACATCTTTTTGCCCAAGTATGTTCATTTTTTATTATATTTTGTTTCTGATACTTACATTTTCATCTATTACTATGCACTTCTAAAAGAATTTTATTTTAGAAAATAAATCATGTTTGTATTTTAGATTATCAAAACTTCAGGTGGATATTTATCAATGTTACTTGCTATAAAAGATAGAATGTGAGTTGTCGTTTTCTATTTTTAGTAAGATCTAAATTTAAAAAAAATACAACTCCCAATGACAGTCCAAATATCACAATGAGATTATTTATTACAAACTTACAAAGAATTATACTTAATGATATAAAAAAAAGGTATTTCGTAAAATTATTACGTACATTTATTGACAGAAGTCCAAAAAAGAGGTTTCCCACATACTCACATTATTGTAACTTTGCACCCCGTTGATAAGCTACATACAGTTAACAATATCGATAAATAGATATCTGCAGAAATTTTTATCGATAACATCATGCTTAAAAATATTCATAATAGAACATATGTTTCGTGAGTATGCGTACAGAGATACACGTACTAACACGGACAATTCTGCAAGACGTGTGTTCGTCAGCGAAGTCTGCTCATAAACATACAACACTTGCATATAACAACTAAAAATACATAATTTTAAAACACAAATTTATAAAAATTTTTCTAAGTACTATAGGATAGATCATTATCCACACAACTAACAATTCTGTAGTTTTTTGTCACATACTCCATCATCTACCAAAAAAAACCTACTACCTCCAGTAAAAATTAATACTCCTCCATGTGGGCCTTTTAAAAACTATAATTGGCTTTATTGACGATCGGAATCTTACTTGACGATACATCTTGAAATGTTGAAGTGCATATTTGTCATGGCTAACTTGATAATACGTATGTATAACTTATGTAGGCAGCATCCCAACTTCCGAACATGGCGATTGATACCTCAATCAATGGTTGGTCATCAGTAATATAATAAAAGTGTACTTATGAGTTTGAAATTCTTACATACACTTTCAATTAATTATACTTCATTTTTAACTACATTAATATTCTACGAACTAAAATGTATAGAAGTCCCGCACCAGAACAAACTCGAGCAGATACGAGAAAGCTCAAACTTATCTAGAAATTTTGGAACCTTGGATTATGATTCTATTGAGCAATTTTATACATACGGCGAAATTAATTTGTCTACAGCACTTTTCTTTAGTACGTAAGTACAATACGTTGTACTACACGGTACTGTAGCAAAGTATTTTATATCCCTACCACTGTAGAATACGTAAGATTTCTATGTGTAGGATAAAGCCCCTCTTAGAAAAAAGTGTAGAGCTCGAGAGAAATATAAAGTATGCATGAAGATGGAAACAACGATTATTGTAAGACCAGCTCGCAGTGTGCAGAGAAATTGTCATAAATTACGTAATTGACCATTTATACATAAGTGCTAATAACAAGACCTATTATAAAGTTTTCTTGGAGAAAGAAACACTAGATGCAATGTCATAACTTTACTATTATGAATTTTCTTTTCTCAATGAAGAACAATTCGCTCTCCTATGCATGATAACACTTATTGTTGAATATGGTTCGATCAGGTTACGACGAGTGCGTTAGTATAACTCGTTTTACAATGAAGAGTATGGGAGTCTGGCCGAATGCTAAATCTAATTTCAATTTGTGCCCACAAATTTTGTTTTTCTTTTCACTTTTCTCAATGGTCTTCTTCATAGTTCTACCACAAACTATGCAGTTGTTTTACACAGAGGGTAATTTGGACTTAATTCTTGATATTTTAACAACAGCAGACATAATCATCACGATTGCTTGTCTCAAACTCATTGGAATATTATATAATAGACGTGGTAAGTTTATTCAATTTATTATACTGTTATTAGAACTAGAAAAAATATTTCATTAACATTATATAAATAATAAATTTTAAATTCAATACAGTGTAGGTTTCCTTCAATCTTTACATTTTTGAATTTAAGTATAATTAAATTATTGAATACACAAAAAAATAATTGTTTATTGGTACTAAATTTTAAAAAAACTTTCATTAAAAAAAAACTTTGTATCATACTATGACTGTAAAAATTGTTTACTTTTTACTATACGTATATTTTAAGATAAAATTCGAATTGAAACGGTACTTAAAAGAGAATTCTTCCTACGAAAAAAATTGATTATCTGAACTAATTAGAATTACATTAATTTTTTATCAAAGATCTTAGCTATCTTCTCACTGAACTGGAAAAGGATTGGAAAACATCCACAGAAGCTGAGCAAAAAGCTATGTGGAAGAACATCAAATTATGCAGAATAATTTTAATTTCTTGTGCTGTTTTAACATACGGAACTGTAATAACGTATGCGCTACACATACTAATAATTTTAAATGCCCATTTCAAACAAGAAAACAGTATTGCAAACATTTCAATGGATAAACCATTATTTATTAATTCCAAATTTTTCTTCGACACACAAAAAAGGCCGATTTTTGAATTGATATGGATCATGCAGTTTTTTGCAGCAATTATTAGTGCTGCAGCGTTTACCTCATTTGATGGATTTTTCATACTTTCAATATTGCATTTGTGTGCACAGTTACCGAATCTACAGTTGAGCATACGAAATATAAGCAGAAAAAGAAAGCAACAAAGTTTTGTAAAATTAATAAGTTTATGTGTTAATAGGCACATTCATCTTCAGAAGTAAGTAAGATTACTACTATTATCAAATAGAATCCTTATTTTTTTGCTCTGAAATATTCAACATCCGTAATAAAGCTTGGAAAAATCTCCAATTTACAACACAACATTCAATATAATACAACGACTTCGATTTTTTTAATTCTCAAAGTTTCATAGACAACCTGCAATATCAATTGTTTTTATACATGAATTAAAGAATGAAATAATAATAAGCATAGGTTTTTACGTATACATATATACTACCTAATCATTTCAAAGTGTGATTCAAATATTCGTAGTAGCTTGAGATAATCGTTTAAATAAAAAGTAAGTTGGAAAATGTTGTTGGCATGAGACATTGTAGATATTCTTACAAAGGGAAAAATAGTAAATTTCTTCACAAATATGCATCTCTTTGAATTAGGCAGTGTTTTAGGATTCAAGTAGGCAATTTTAAAACATAAATATAGATATTATTTTATAGAGAACAGGAAAAATCTACAATATGTACTTGTTCATGCCATAAATTAAGAATTCGAACAATTTTACAGGCTCACTTATTGTATAGAAGACAATTTTAACCAAATATTTTTGGTGCAGATGATTCTTTATATATTCACAATATGTTTACAAGGCTATCAAATAGTTACAGTAAGTTATAGTAATTTTTGTCACTGGTGTGCATCTTCTCTGTGGTAATCACCGGACAGATGCGGACCAGTGGCGAATGCTATTCTCCCTACTGAGGGTGGCGTGAAATGTTAAAGTTAAAAAAAATAAAATAAATAAAACGCCCAAGGTAGAGACAATCACTTTTTAATACTGTTCGAATTAATAAAAATAAAAATTTATTTGACACTTAGATTCTTGGTATGAAAAATTTCAAAGATGCTGCAGCCACTTTAGTATTCATAGTAGTTTTTACATTAGCCAACATTTTGAGTCTCTTCACTTATTGCTTTGTTGCCGAAAAACTTCGATCCGAGGTATTCAAACATTGACGGATATTTCTATTTTTTTGTTTATTTTTAATGCATCGAATATGTACAGAGCACGAGTATTTTCCAAGCTATATATAATATACCTTGGTATGAATATAAGTCAACGGAATCTAAAATGATACTAAACATAATGCAAGCTACAATAAATCCATTTACTCTTTCTGCCGGAAAATTTGTGGAGCTTTCTTTCCAATACTTTGCAAAGGTATGTTTATAAAAGAAAAAATTACAACAAATATTTATTTAAATTATTATTTAAGGCCCATGCCTTGTTACGCAAATTTGAAATAAGACAAAATAAGTTATCGTTTGGGTACTTCAGTTTAATATAAAGATTAATTTCAGAGCGAAAAGGGTACTTTAAAAGCATTTAATATTTTTTGTATACATACAAAGAAAATATTAAATGATTTATAATAAAAACATTAAATGTATACATACAAAAAGTATTAAATGCTTTGGAAGATTATGATCTTAGGTTCATTACACAAATTCAATGACTTACGTTACATTGTCGAAAAATGTAATCAGATTTAAAACACATGATTAGTGATTCTTAAGGAAATGATATGACTCTAGTGTCACATGTTCACTTATACTAACGTTACATTACCATTACGTTGATGATCACTACAGTTGACGGAAACAATAGTCCAAAAATTTAATAAAATTTAATTATTTTTTATGCAATACATAGCTTGTCATAAGGCTTCATACGATTTAAGTGAGAATTTTTATATTCATTAATATTATAGGTACTAAAGTGTTCAGCAGGATACTTATCAATGCTATTAGCAGTACAAAAGGGTAATAATGCAACCCAATAAAGCTAGATAGCATTCCATTCAGCAAATCAGAAGGGAAATATTTTTCATACCAATTCTCTTAAATGGGTATGTATGATTTTACGATGCTTTCTCTTTGATTAAGTCGAAATAATGGTAGTTTTCCTACGAGTTTGAAAAGTCTTTGTTTGCGAACCGAGACGTTTGCGGCCCGAGCCGAAGGCGAGGGACGTAACTAGGTTCGTAAAGGAGACTTTTCGAACGAGTTCCGGAAAACTGCTTTTTCGCCCGAGGAAGTACCAGCCTCCCAAAACCACCCGAGGGCGGAAAAAATAATTTAACAACATGTCATTAAGGTGAGGATAGTATTAGAATTCACAAAGAAACATTATGATGAGTCAAATCGATGAATATATAAATGACACATAAAAAAGTCCTCTGGGCCTCTACAAAAACATTGGTCGCCAAATCATAACAACCAGGATTAGACCGAATCAGCTCCTCTTAGAGATGTTATAATAGCTATATTGTGGATGCTACCAGCCATGCACGCTACATATTTAATTTAATAGTTTGTCATTAATTTAAACATTTTTCTGATCGAATAAGAAAATTTTTCGATTGTAACGTTCCTGACTCATGCGAAACAGCACAACAGCTCGCATAAATTGTACCATTGATTTGCCATACACTTATACTACTCACAAAAATTCTGCGATTTTCAAACACCAATAATTTCCATCAACTATCTTAATTCAGTTTGTTTCATTTTCTTCTTAGCCACGCTTATCTCTGAGTTTTAATTCTCTGTAAGTATAATTTAAGCTTTTTTTTCGAGATTTTCTAAAACTCTCTTTTTAGCCTTTCATTAATCCTTTGCTTCATCACGCATATCTTTTCGTCCATTACAGTTTCTCCTACAGTCACCAAGCTATTTTAATATTCTTTAAATTTACTTGGTGAATAACGAATTTTTCTTTTTAATTTCTATTAAAACTATTTTTTTCGGCAACTACTCTTTTGTTTTTCATACAACCATTTCCATAGTCCGTGGGTATTTTGTATTCCAGCTATTCACTTAGTAACTTGTTATATTTATTTGCTTGGCAACTCTTTACATTTATTTTCTCTAGCCATAGCTGTAAAAGTACTATGTTAAAAATCATATCATAAGTTTATTTAGATATTGCCGTCGAAATAATTATTCCCTGAATGATTTCTGGTGAAAGATGTTTAGGAAGATGTGTAAAACAAAATATCAAAATGCCAACTTAGGATTTCTCCTACAAATTTTTTCATCGCACAATTAAGAGGGAAAAATTTATTTTTTTATTAATGACTTTTAAGTAAATTTTTAAGAAAAAATAGACAGTATTTTTAGGAATAACGGAAAATTTTATGAAATTAACGGGTGAAACATTTATTTTTTAAATGAAATTCAAATGAGCAGAAATTTGTTAACTACGGCCATGAAGTGGTAATCTAAATAGGTGCTAGCTTTGTTATAAATCTTTAAAACTGCTTTTTGATTCAATTTTTTTACTTATGCAAGTATGTTTGTAATCATGTAAAGTGATAAATATGTTGTGAATTAGAATATATTAGGTATTACACGATAAAAAAATCCCAGACTTGATTTTAGTTTTAGAAATAAATAGTGGCGGATACAAATAAGCTGAATAAAGTATAAAAAATTTCTAAAATCCCGAAAGAATATTATTTTATGTAAATAATAATGTTTCAGAAAAAATAAAAAATGTTAGCGTATGTATCTTTTTCATTCAATGTAGCATCGGAGCATATAAAAAGAGTTTACCTGTAAGTGCAGACATATTTTGACAGCAAGTAAAACGATTACCGAATGAATGAAGATAGAGGAAAAAGATGTCTTTCGCCCAATTGCAATCACTGATCTATCGGCTCCGGAAAATTTTGGGAGACTTTAAATTGCTGTTCCAAAATAAATTGTAAGGGTTCTTGTCAATACCATAAAATAAGACATTATTGTAGCAACGTATGCTTAAATTTAGACCAAACTAGTTGTTTTAATACTTCATAGTTTGACGTTACAGGTGATCTACATGGAGTTGCAAAAGTCGAAGTACTAGAAGAAACCATAATAGAAACAAAAATTAGAAAATAATTGAAATAACATTATGTAATAAAAAGTTGATGAATATACTTTTATACATTCACAGTTATGAACAATGTTTGTCCACTACTGCATAAGAAACTTACTTTAGAATGATTTTGTATCTTATCATTTTGTTATTGCTGTTATGTATTTTGAAAATTTTTCGTTTACTTATCAGCATAATCATAAAAAAACTTTGTTTTGGTATATATTTTGAATTTTGTTTTTACCAATTCACGTGGAATTCATTTCATTTTTTAACTAATTTTTTTAATTTTTAGTATTTTTTGTAAGAATAACTATACTTTTACTCAACGCTCAAAGCTATACTTTCTTCCTTTAGAATATTTTAACTTTGGCTTTTGTCATCTATTTTTTGAATTTTTTGTAATACGACTTCTATTTCTACGATATTCTTCCTTGTACCATTTATTTATTTAGTTAAGAAGTGGTATACTTCTTCTAAGTTTATCTAAAAGTGTATCTTTCTCAATTGTTGTATGACACTTCAATTTTTGTGGATCCTATTCACGCCATGCAGACTTTATTAACTTCTACGACATGAATTTTATTTCACTCGAATATTCAAAGATATGCAGCTGACTTGTATGTTAATTTTAAGACCAAAAATTTTAAATGACTTGGTACATAATTATTCTGGAATAACATCATCTAGAAAACATCAGAATTTATTAATTTTTGAGATAACATTTAATATCAGTGTTGTATACAAATCACTATAGTTTCGAATACGTAAAAGAATAAAAAATAAGTCTACAATGACCATGTATTGTATTAAGTACTCTTTTATAATTTATTATTATAATCAATAATTATTTGAACTGACTTCGTTATTATGACACTTTTGTTTGATTAATTATCAGATTTTTTGATCAAAATAAGTATTATGTCTGTTAAGATAATAAATACATCAAAACTAGATTTTTGTAAAATAAATAATTTATTTTGTTAGCAATGTTCAATTATAAAAAAACACACAAAAATGTATTTAAGTATTTTTGTTTATTATAATAAACTGTATACATTATTTGACATCATAAGCATGATGTTCAACGTTAGAGAGTTAGTTAGAAGGTATTTATATAAGTGCTCTTCTGCATCGTACAGAAATTGAACTGTTCTACCTATAAAATTCTCGAATAGCTTAAACCCCCCTTTTCACAAACTTCTCTTGTATTTTAATATTCTAAAACTTTGAGCATGCGCCGCTCAGTTTAAACAGAAACGATCGCGTTGAAACATTTTAGTCGCAGTGCTCTAGAAGGTCGCGTATACGCTCTACAATGGATAAAATGAGAGGCATACAATCTTTTTGAAATGAAAATAAATATAAAATTTATATTAATCGAATTTCAACTTAACCATGACAATCTGGAGACTGTTAGAAGAATCTATTTATTGCATCATCGTTAAATGTTTCAAATCAAAAATATTACATTAATGATAACATTCAGTTTTTTTCGACGTACTTTGTTAATAGATATATACAATTTAATAGAGTTTATAATCGCTTATAAAATATATACGTTTGTTGTTTTTATTTTTAATGCACTTGAGAGAAATAGTTGAAAAACAATAAGGTGAAATTGATTCTATTATACAATTATTTGACATGTGTCAATAACTTTTTGTTTATTGTTTTTCTATACTTTACATGTTCAAGTGTATTATAAAAAAACTCTTAATTTGTAATGGAAAATTTTGTCTTATATAGTATTTTATTGATTAAACTTTCGAAATAGTTTTACAGTGCTTACACCTGTGATAAATTTTTTTTTTTTATAAACATTCGTACTTAGGAATTTGTAAATCATGACTTTGTTGATAAAAATAAGTTTACTTTCATATATTTCAATTGCAAATGTTTTATAGGGTTTCAATATGCATTTGGAGTTTGTCATACGAATCTTAAAATAGTAGGATTATGGCCCGGTTCTATAAATTCAAAATTCAACGGTATTATTCCAGTGTTACTTTTAACAATAACGATTTTTATAATGATAACTTTTGTAACTATGGCCCAAACTACAAAATTACTTATGATTTGGGGTGACTTGGGCTTAATGATAAATAATCTTTCAACGGCAAATTTACCAATTACTGTAGTAATAATTAAAACGATTCTGTTTTACAATTACAAAAGAGGTAAGCCATACATGCCATTATTTTACTTGTTTTTTTAATACTAAGGTTTTTGTGTTATTCTAATTTAAATTTAAAATGGTTTTTTATTTACTTAACGACTTTACTTTTAAAAATATTTTAGAAATCATTTTTTATTTAAGTATTATTTTTAGTGATGAAAAGAATTTATTTTAATTTTAAGCTGGTTCATAAGTGAAATAAATGTGAATAAAATCAAAGAAAACTTTAAGAAATTATTTAAATATGAATAAAGTAGTCTCACATAAGATTTCAGATTAAGTTATAATTTTAAAATGCGAAAAAGGTTGTTAAAAAATGGAACTTTATATTCTTACTAAGATCAGTATTGTTTCGACGTTTTTAACGAAAAATAAAGTTTTGTAGGACGGTAATGTTTGAAAAAACTAACACAAGAACTTATTTCTTATTCCAAATAAATTAGCTCATAAAAAACTTGAAATTCAAGGAATGATGGACTCGAATTTCGTCTAAAAATATCGAGATTTTTTCTCGGAATTTTTTGGTAAGAAAACTATCGAGAAGACCAGAACACTACACCCCCCACGAATCACAAGGATAAGGTAAAGGTAGAAATCGGATACGTTAAAACCAAGAAATTAATCTTACACCATACAATACGATACAAAACTTATGGCATTTGTTAAAAACGTATGCGAGCTTTGTTCTCATATATTTTATGGTTTCATGCCATTTATAAAATCATTTCTATTATCTTTTTTATTAAAGCACAATCTGAAATTTCACGTGAGTACTTTAATGTATTTGATAGATAATGGTCACTAAAATTCCTTGTGAATGTCAACAACTTTTACAAAAACTCATCTGACAGTCATGAATGAACCTGCTTAAACCATTTAGAATGGTCATATGATACAAATTAAAAATGTGTAATATAAAATGAGAAATAAAACCTGTTAATAATATTTAAGAATTAGGAATGTTATTGTCATCCGTCATCAATGATTGGAATGCTGACAAGACGAAAGGAGAAGTCATAAATATGGTTAGAAACGCTAAAACTACCCGTAAATTATCATTTATTTGTTTGTTTCTTGGAATGGGTTCGGTCAATGGTCAGTTAGCAGTACGAATAAGTCAAGAGCTAGATATACTGCCTGGACAGATAAATAAACGAGAACCAATGCTCATTTCATATTTTCCCTATGACTATAAGCCAAGCCCGATTTATGAAATCACTTGGCTATTTCAATACTTAGGAGCAATTTTAGCAACGCTTATATATTCAGGCATTTATTGCTTCTTCGTTGGTCTTGTCTTGCATCTTCGAGGACAACTGGCGAATCTTAGATTTCGTTTGGAAACCCTAGACATTGACGGGAATAAAGCAAATCATAGAAAGATTACGAAAAAGATAGGATTTATTGTGGAGAGACACAACATTCTTAACAGGTATACATTAATTTATGAATACACTTCACTTTAATACTAATTTACTTCGATATAATGTTAATATTTTTATAAATAATTAGTATTATAACATTGAAACTCTGTAACTTTTTATATATAAAGGATTTAGTAATTAGTCAGAGAGTTTTTTTTTTAATATCTTATAATTTACATCAAACATTTGATAACAACAGAAAAATAAATTTCGCTAGTTTTAATAACTCTTTTACTATTTTTATTTTGATGGCAAAGCTATATGAACTCTATTCCACGTTTTTAACTTTATAATAAATTAATACATTGGACAGTTTCAGTTAGTAAAAATGGGCATTTCATTAAATACCGTATAGTTATTTCAATTTATTTACATAATTAAATTACATTATCTTATACTTATTATTTATTGTAGTAAAAATTTGTAGTTCTTGTACTTCAACTAAAATTAGTCTTGACTACTGCCTGTAATAAAATATTTTTTAACTATTATTAAAAAAAAATTCAAGATTCGCAAAGGAGATCGAAAATGTTTTTAATGGCATCTTTTTGGTCGAAATCATTTCTTGTACCGTACTTATTTGTTTGCAGCTGTTTCTTTTAGTTACGGTGAGTTATTCGAAACAATTTTTTATAATTAATAGATCTACAACAGCTCATTACAATACTGTTTTTCTATTTAATTTCAGTTGATTTCTGATGATAACAAGGACATCAATGTACCAATTTTACAAATTGTCTTTACGGTAACGTACGTAATGCATGTCGGAACTCACGTATTAATATCATGTTACGTCGCTGATAAACTACAGGATGAGGTAAAATAAAATAAATGATATATGTTATTATCAAAAGTTTAGGTAAATTAAAAAGTGTTCTCAATCTGTTGTGCACATATAATCTTATTATTATTTTTAGTCAAGATTTCTGATACTTTAAGCTTGTACTAGATAGTATAAGAGTAATGTATACGCCGGCTTTTCGCTCCGAGATTATGTCATAAGACTTATGGCACAAAATACATGTAAAATGTAAAAGTGACAATCAGCGCCATTCTCCCCTCTAACATTCTCGGAGCGAATAGCTACATGGTATGTGGCTGGTTCAGAGAACCGATTTACAATTAATAGTCACCAGTACTGGAAGAGTTGTTGGTGTAAAATAGCAAAACTCCATAGATGTTCTCCAGGGCCCTTAAATTCATGAAAACTTGACATTTCGTTGTGTTTTAATCAGGGAATATTGTAACCTTAAAAAATGAGGAATTTGCAACGTCCATAATCCAAACTTTTTTAATACAAAATTATTTGGGTACGTCTCAAAAACGTTTACATAAAATTGCAGATCGTAATCTTCAGAACTATTCTTGAAACGTGGGAATCTAAAGTGCTAGTCTTTCCTATACATTTAATGAGTTTCGATTTTTCAATCACTTTCAGATATTTTATTACTGTTGTCCTAATTTTTTGACGCGATGCGTAAAAAAATATACTGTCCATCAGAAAATACGCATGAATGGATATTGTTTTACGTATTTGAAAAAAAAAAAAAAAAAAAAAAAAAATTAATAAATAAAAGCAACAGTGAAATTTCGAGAGTTAAGTTATTAAAAAAGCCCATTAATTTCCAAAGAGAATAATAGCACATTAGGACTATATTTTTTAAAAACAGTTCTACAGATACGTACAAAAATGCGATAAAAAAAGCTCGAACATCTACGTCACGGCGAACATTTTTTTTACAAAACTCGTGTTAAATTCTGTTGAGAGCATTTTATGTACACATTATAGGGACATAATTAAATAATTATTTTTTGGTAAAGTTTGGATTTTTAAACATTTGAAGATCCATGGAAATATGAGAATATACATGAATTTTAAGAACTAGTGGTTTGATTGTAACTTGGTGCTCCAAATGAAATAAGCATCCCGTATAGCTATACAGTCCTTACTGTGCAGTACACTCTTGATAACCCTAACGTTGTTTTTGAGATTTTGTGTGCGAAGTATTCAATTATAGCACAAATGCGCAAAGTAAAAACTATACACCCAGCTTCTTGCACACTGATGAGTAAAAAAGTTACCGGAAGTTAAAATGTTTGCACAATAATGGTTAAAGTCGTGTGTTGTGCATCGAGTGCACAGAGAGCCTGTGAGTTTTACACGAGTATAGTATTTAAGAAAGTGAGAGACATCGGAAATACGTGGGTAATGAGTATATATTTATGATTCAATGTGCACATGTTACAACATTGGTGTTTTTTCGACTAGTACAATGCAAACATTTATTAACGAATTGGTTACTTTACCCATTAGTATGAGATTTTTCTCTCTTATTTAACTCGCTAGATTCACAATATTTTATGTGTTTTTAATATTTACATACTTTTATATTTAAGTATATCTTCTCTGTTTCCACGAATCATCAATGAGAAACTGATTAGATGAATTATATCACTCTAGAGTTCGGCAATTAGCCAATCTGCATACAATATTCAATGGTATAATATGGCATCCCAGAATTCCAAACTTTTGTTAATGATAATGCAAAGGTCAGAGAAGCCACTGAAGTTGACAGCTGGAAAGTTTTGTTCGTTTTCTTTACTACTTTTCATACAAGTACATCAATCTTTTTATGTGTTTTTCTCAATGTATACGTATACAATTGAAATGATTTATTAAACGTTCTCAATTTGTATTTTTTAGATTCTAAAAACTTCAGGGGGATATTTATCAATGTTACTAGCTGTGAAAGAAAAAATATAAACTACATTCACAAATTTTTAGTAATAAAAATTCCAATTTAAAATGTATTATTATAGAGTTTTGATTGAGAGACTTGTGTAATAGAACGTATTATTAAAGGAACGTGTTATAGTAAAAAAAAATGAAAAAAAAAATTGAAAGAAAAGCAAATAGACTCGGTGAAAAAAAAGAACCAAAGATTAAACATTTTATTTACACGGGTAAAAATATATAACAAATTAATGGAGCACCAATGTCTTAGTGGGTATTGTGCTAGTCTCTTAGTTGGAGAAACTTGAGGGGTGGTGCAAGTGGGTTCAAAATCCGTCCAAAAATATTGAGATTTTTTTCTCGAGTTTTTTTGATGGATGCCTATCCAGGATAGAAAGGAGGAAAAAAAAAAAAGATCGAGAGAAAAAATAAATAAGGTAAAAAAAAAAAAACAGTATTTCCCAATATCTAATAACTATATAATATGTGAAACAAGCGAAAGTGACAAAAATTTTAAAGAATCGTATTCATGTATGAATACTGATTTTTAGCAAAAGTATAAAACTTTAAATGGTGTATTAAGAAAAAACTATTGAAGGAAATGAAATAATTATAAAAATATGTTCTTAGATCTTGACAAATACGTATAACAAATTGTCATTTCTTAATTAAATGGGGCAGAAAGAAATATAAATCTAATTGTAATAATACGATGTACTATTTGTTACTAGAAAAACACAACTAAATAATTATAAGTAAAGATTGAAAAAATTTCTAAAATTAAAAAAAGTATAACTGTGTAAGTATGTCATTTGTCCTCCTTTTACTTACTGTCACAATGGATAGAAAAAAATTTTTTTTCAACCAATCAAGTACGTTTTGATCTTTCCTCGACACACAATACGTACAGTCAGATAAATAATTGTATTTAATTTACACACCTGAAGCCTTAAGGTTCAATATACTCCACAAGAAATACATTATTTCTCAATGACTAGAACAACTTTTACACGAAAAAAATTAATATTTGTTTTAATTTGTAGTTTATTGTCAAAATAATCATACAAATTACATTATTTAAGGCAATTTGAGTAATGGTTGTAACTTCAACAAGTAACAACACCCGAAACATCATACATGATGATGATAATGCAATAAATAAATGACAGGGAACTACAGCTGCATCGTTTGTCAAGTTGGTTAGTTTACGAACTGACTTGTCCGCAAGCCCCCTCTCCAAATGACAATCTGTATTTCTCGCACATGAATTAAGTATGAGCACGCGTCGATATCTATAGCCAAAGTTTTTTTTACCGTCGTACTGAGTCGTACCGAGAGTTCGATTATAGTTTCAGAATTTACTGCACAGTGGTTAGACAACGCAGCCATCAAATGGAAGGTAGCATTGCTATTAAGTATTACTGACGATAAGAACCGTTTAATGTATTAAAATTTAGTGACAAAAGAGGCTTACTATTTTATTTAAAGGTTTTTTTTTTTTTTTTTTTTTTTCATTGATTTCACGTTTTTTTGTAAAATTAAGTGAACATTTTTTATAATGTTGAAAGTTTCAACATGCATTTTCTTAATTACCCTAATGATTAAAATGAAAATGGTATTTACCAGATGCCAATGAGATGCTGAGCCTTAGCCGCTGGAGTTTGTGCGTTGTCGGTGTTTGGCCAGATTTAAAATCCTCCAGACAGTTCGCAACAATATCATACATTATATTTATGACTTCGATAGTCTCTATTTGTAACTTTCTTATTATACCACAGACAATGAAGCTTTTTCTAATTGGCAATGATTTAGACATGATTGTTAATATTCTTTGTACCGCAAATATCCCTCAGATCGTCACTCTTATTAAAATGAGTATTTTTCGTTACGATTCTACAGGTATTTTAGTTTAAAACATGTCTAATATTTTATTGAATGTGGAAGTATCTAAATGCCTTTTAAATTTTGCAAGATTACATAAAAAAGTTATATTACCATGAAAATAGATGTAAAAACTAATTATTTGTGTATTACTAATAAGTAATTGAAAAAGTATTAAAATGTATTTAAATTTTCAACAGAAGTAAAATCTTTATTGCACACTATGTACAAAGATTGGAATTCAGAATACACGTCTGAGCAGGTCAAGATGATACGTTACAGTGCAAAAGTTGGGAAAAGGATTGCAGCTGCTTGTATTGGCATCGGTTACATCACGTCGAATATTTTTTTTATTTTGAGACTTATACTACTTCAAGAAGAGAAATCATATTCCAGTGGACATGTGTTTCTCTTTGAATCCCACTTTCTTATCGATGTCTCTAATTCGCCTTGGTTCGAGGTCATCTGGCTGCTTCAAGGCTTTTGTACCTTTTCCATGACTAATGCTTATTCCGGCATTGACGGCTTTTTTGCAATTTTGGTCCTACACCTTTGTGGACAACTTGATGTTTTGTTGGACGAAATAAATATGTTATCCATTGACAATGCAAAAATGGATGTCAAAGAAAACATTCGGAGTATAATAAAGCGACAGAACGAAATTAATGCGTTAGTATCTTAAAATAAATAAATATATACATCAACTAATTGCTTTCATACCATTAGAATAATAACATAATTAGCAAATTCTTAAAAATATTAGAACAATTTTATACAGAAATTTAAAATCAATTTTCTAGTAAAAAGTACGTCTGTACTGAACAATAAGAATGAGATGAATCAGAACTTACAGTAAAATGAATTCGTTGCTTCCCGGTAACCCTGTTAAGAGGTTGCACGAATCCCGAATCATTTATTCAATTTTAGTGATGTTTTGAGGGTCAAACAGTTTTTTTATATGTTCCTATTAGTATTTAGTAATTAATTATAACTTCAAGTACAGTTATCTTAAATCAAAACTTTAATAACACTCAATAAGTAAATTAAAACTAAATAACGTCACAGTACATTTATCACCCTCACATCATAATAAATTAAATAAAAACTTCATTAGCTTGCTTACATATTTACTTGATCTATATTTAAACAATTGGCAGTATTATTAATATACATTCATCTGATGTTATTCTGGTGAGTAAAACATTAATTGATGTTGATACAATAAAAAATTTTCAATAAGCTTGGTATATCTGCTCAGCAAATAGGAAATTTTAAGTTTAATTTCACTTTTACTAATAGTCAATTTTTTCTCAGTCTCAGTTATAATTCGGATTCAGTTAATTTAGAGGGCTATAAAATCTTTGAGCAAATATTCATAATTACTTTTACCAATCAAACTAATGCATATTTATTCAACTCATATAGCGTTCATCAATATTTTCAGAGCCTTTACAGTTCGTATGACTTATCAAAATCTACTACACTGACAACAATAAATACGCTTAAATCAGAGTTCAAAACGTTTAAAAAGCACCAATTTTGTCAAATAATGCGTTCTTTTCAAAATTATAACCGGTCAAATATTGAGCGAAAACCCAGCCTAATTTAGTTTTATTAAAATATCAGATTTCTTAACCCAGTACTGAGTACGCAATATTTTTTTATTTAAAAAAGTAATTTTAAAACTGAGTGAATTGTAATAATACGATGTACTATTTGTTACTAGAAAAACACAACTAAATAATTATAAGTAAAGATTGAAAAAATTTCTAAAATTAAAAAAAGTATAACTGTGTAAGTATGTCATTTGTCCTCCTTTTACTTACTGTCACAATGGATAGAAAAAAATTTTTTTTCAACCAATCAAGTACGTTTTGATCTTTCCTCGACACACAATACGTACAGTCAGATAAATAATTGTATTTAATTTACACACCTGAAGCCTTAAGGTTCAATATACTCCACAAGAAATACATTATTTCTCAATGACTAGAACAACTTTTACACGAAAAAAATTAATATTTGTTTTAATTTGTAGTTTATTGTCAAAATAATCATACAAATTACATTATTTAAGGCAATTTGAGTAATGGTTGTAACTTCAACAAGTAACAACACCCGAAACATCATACATGATGATGATAATGCAATAAATAAATGACAGGGAACTACAGCTGCATCGTTTGTCAAGTTGGTTAGTTTACGAACTGACTTGTCCGCAAGCCCCCTCTCCAAATGACAATCTGTATTTCTCGCACATGAATTAAGTATGAGCACGCGTCGATATCTATAGCCAAAGTTTTTTTTACCGTCGTACTGAGTCGTACCGAGAGTTCGATTATAGTTTCAGAATTTACTGCACAGTGGTTAGACAACGCAGCCATCAAATGGAAGGTAGCATTGCTATTAAGTATTACTGACGATAAGAACCGTTTAATGTATTAAAATTTAGTGACAAAAGAGGCTTACTATTTTATTTAAAGGTTTTTTTTTTTTTTTTTTTTTTTTTCATTGATTTCACGTTTTTTTGTAAAATTAAGTGAACATTTTTTATAATGTTGAAAGTTTCAACATGCATTTTCTTAATTACCCTAATGATTAAAATGAAAATGGTATTTACCAGATGCCAATGAGATGCTGAGCCTTAGCCGCTGGAGTTTGTGCGTTGTCGGTGTTTGGCCAGATTTAAAATCCTCCAGACAGTTCGCAACAATATCATACATTATATTTATGACTTCGATAGTCTCTATTTGTAACTTTCTTATTATACCACAGACAATGAAGCTTTTTCTAATTGGCAATGATTTAGACATGATTGTTAATATTCTTTGTACCGCAAATATCCCTCAGATCGTCACTCTTATTAAAATGAGTATTTTTCGTTACGATTCTACAGGTATTTTAGTTTAAAACATGTCTAATATTTTATTGAATGTGGAAGTATCTAAATGCCTTTTAAATTTTGCAAGATTACATAAAAAAGTTATATTACCATGAAAATAGATGTAAAAACTAATTATTTGTGTATTACTAATAAGTAATTGAAAAAGTATTAAAATGTATTTAAATTTTCAACAGAAGTAAAATCTTTATTGCACACTATGTACAAAGATTGGAATTCAGAATACACGTCTGAGCAGGTCAAGATGATACGTTACAGTGCAAAAGTTGGGAAAAGGATTGCAGCTGCTTGTATTGGCATCGGTTACATCACGTCGAATATTTTTTTTATTTTGAGACTTATACTACTTCAAGAAGAGAAATCATATTCCAGTGGACATGTGTTTCTCTTTGAATCCCACTTTCTTATCGATGTCTCTAATTCGCCTTGGTTCGAGGTCATCTGGCTGCTTCAAGGCTTTTGTACCTTTTCCATGACTAATGCTTATTCCGGCATTGACGGCTTTTTTGCAATTTTGGTCCTACACCTTTGTGGACAACTTGATGTTTTGTTGGACGAAATAAATATGTTATCCATTGACAATGCAAAAATGGATGTCAAAGAAAACATTCGGAGTATAATAAAGCGACAGAACGAAATTAATGCGTTAGTATCTTAAAATAAATAAATATATACATCAACTAATTGCTTTCATACCATTAGAATAATAACATAATTAGCAAATTCTTAAAAATATTAGAACAATTTTATACAGAAATTTAAAATCAATTTTCTAGTAAAAAGTACGTCTGTACTGAACAATAAGAATGAGATGAATCAGAACTTACAGTAAAATGAATTCGTTGCTTCCCGGTAACCCTGTTAAGAGGTTGCACGAATCCCGAATCATTTATTCAATTTTAGTGATGTTTTGAGGGTCAAACAGTTTTTTTATATGTTCCTATTAGTATTTAGTAATTAATTATAACTTCAAGTACAGTTATCTTAAATCAAAACTTTAATAACACTCAATAAGTAAATTAAAACTAAATAACGTCACAGTACATTTATCACCCTCACATCATAATAAATTAAATAAAAACTTCATTAGCTTGCTTACATATTTACTTGATCTATATTTAAACAATTGGCAGTATTATTAATATACATTCATCTGATGTTATTCTGGTGAGTAAAACATTAATTGATGTTGATACAATAAAAAATTTTCAATAAGCTTGGTATATCTGCTCAGCAAATAGGAAATTTTAAGTTTAATTTCACTTTTACTAATAGTCAATTTTTTCTCAGTCTCAGTTATAATTCGGATTCAGTTAATTTAGAGGGCTATAAAATCTTTGAGCAAATATTCATAATTACTTTTACCAATCAAACTAATGCATATTTATTCAACTCATATAGCGTTCATCAATATTTTCAGAGCCTTTACAGTTCGTATGACTTATCAAAATCTACTACACTGACAACAATAAATACGCTTAAATCAGAGTTCAAAACGTTTAAAAAGCACCAATTTTGTCAAATAATGCGTTCTTTTCAAAATTATAACCGGTCAAATATTGAGCGAAAACCCAGCCTAATTTAGTTTTATTAAAATATCAGATTTCTTAACCCAGTACTGAGTACGCAATATTTTTTTATTTAAAAAAGTAATTTTAAAACTGAGTAATTCAATTTTTTCTGTTAGGGATGTGTAGAAACGTGTTTTGATTGATGTGTCTGAAGATATATTTTTTTTTTTCAACATAAGATAACGGAAAATCATTAAAAAATTTACATTACTTTTTAAATTATAAACATGTAAGNTAATAATAATAATAATAAATCGGTAAATTAAAACTTTAAAGGTTTGTTAAGATGATACAAGGAATATTTGGTCAAATATTTCTTATCCAAGTGTCGGCATGTGTTGTGCAATTTTGTTTGCAGGGATATCAGATGATACATGTAAGTGCGACTTTATAAATCAATTTTATTCATAAATTGAATTTTCAGTTGATCTGTTTTTGCAGATTGTTACAAATGCAAAGGTAGAAAAACCTATACTTCAACTGATGTTTATGACAATGTATTTACTTTATTTGTCATTGGACTTTTATATATATTGTCATGTTGCAGAAAAGTTGAGAACGAAGGTAAAATGATGATATTAAAATTCACATACTTCAAGAAAAGACAATATACACATTATAATGGAATCAAAAACAAAAATCATTATCAGTTAACATCATGTGCTGTTTTATCAGCTAAAGCCGATCTCATTGTATCAAGAACGCTGGAAATGAGTCACACGCAAATTTTTTTATAGAAAATTCAGTTCTTCAAAATTTACGTTGTTCCAATAAATTTCTCATGCCGTATTAAAGTTCAAAAATCATCAAGTATACATGTACCTAAGTGAAATCCTACACTATTTAAAAATACTACATTGTTCATAAATCCTCCGTTGATATTATTCACAATGAAGAGAAATAGTTATTTACGTAACAAGTGCGGAAAAGACGATTTCCCGCACGAGTAGTGATTGACTCACACGAGTGCCGGAGTTGACGGGAACGAGTACCAGTTGAGCACACGAGTGCGTAGCACGAGTGTGATCGCAAGGTACGAGTTACCGTCACCGGCCACGAGTGCGAGTCTATCACACGAGTGCGGGAAATCATCCCGCACGAGTTGCGTACAAGTTTTTTCGCAATGTGTGAAGAAAATAGGTACAAAATAGGTTTGAATTTTGATTTCCAGTGTGTAGCAAAATTTTTTCCGGTGTGTGGCAAAACCTTTTCCACACACTTTTTCCGCACACTGTGCGGCAAAAACCTTTGCCGCACACTTTTTCCACACACTGTGCGACAAAAACCTTTGCCACACACCTTTTCCGCACACTGTGCGGAAAAACCTTTACCGCACACTATGTGGGAAAATCGATTTTCCACACTAATACCAGTGCGGAAAACACCCATTTTCCGCACACTATTGCGAACAAATTATTACGTGATGATAAAAAAAAAGGTGCACGTTCAGCGTTTATAATAGGAACGGCTTTACAGACAAAACATCACACAATATTAAAAAATAAGTACCCTATATAAGTAGGAGGGTGATCACTGTTTTTGATTCATTAAAATTAAACTTATCTTGGAGCAATGCGAAGACAAGAAAATCACTTGTGATACAATAAAATACATTGCATTTATAATGTGAATTTATACGTACTAATAAGTATATAAATAACTGTTTCACAGAGCTTAGAAGTATCACAGGCAGTTTATAATTGTAAATGGTATGATTTCAAGACAAAGGAAGCATATGATATTATTTTTATTATGAGCCGAGCTCAGCACCCACTCGAAATCACTGTTGGAAAGTTTTGTTCCTTATCATTAAATTTATTTGCCATAGTAAGTTACTTTCCCTGTTTGTTACCATACAATAATGTAATATGCAAATTAAAGTAAGTTTCAATAAATCAAAATATTCATACATAAGTACAACGAAATTGAAAAAACACTCTTCAAGGCACAGCCAGTATAGTGGGATCAAATTAAGTTTTCGGCAATGGAAATTCAGACTAGCTCAAAAAAAATATGTTGTAGAGAATTAAACAATGCCAATCGATTGTAATAAAATCGAACAAAAAATATTTTCCGCTAAGGCTTCAAAAAAAAAATGGCAAAAATGGTAAAACATGGTTTTTAGCGTCGGAAATGAACAATAAGCCTTTAAATAAAAAATAAAAAATATAAGAGTATGCGTGGCAAAAAGACGAACAAAATGAGCTCCGGTCGATCACCATTGGCCCAGTGGTTTCCTCGCAAAATGCAAAAAATCTCGTTTTTTGAGCCAATTAAAAAAATTAATAACTCTCTTTGGCATAAACATTAAGAGCTGAAATTTAGCAGAGTTGCAGCTTTAGTAGTCTTTAACAACCACACCAAATTTCAGCAAGATCGGATTGATAGTTTTTGCAAACCGCAGCTAAATGAAAAAAAAGGTACTTTGGCAAAAGGGCCTAAAAAAAGTTGTTTACAACGTTAGATGCAATTTTTTGCCGCATCATATTCTTGAATACTTACTCTACAATTTACAAAAGTATCAAATTTTTTTTCTCTGTGGAAGTTGCTTAAAAAATGATAAACCTAATGGGTATTTTTTGGCGCACGGAGGTACGATGCGTGAGGGGCAATGAGCCGCCGTAACCGCCGATGCATAAACCGTGTCCACTTTCTCAAGCTCGACTCGGATGTTATCGACCGAGTACGGTTAAACTGCAAGTGCTCTTAAAAACGATTTCTTGGGAACGCGATATAACCAACTTCTACATTGTAAAAAAATTTGATACTTTGGTAAATTGTAGATTAACTATCAAACAATACAATCCTGCAAAAAAATTGCATCTAACGTTGTAAACAACTTTTTTTTAGGCCCTTTTCCCAAAGTACCTTTTTTTCATTTAGCTGCGGTTTGCAAAAACTATCAATCCGATCTTGCTGAAATTTGATGTGATTGTTAAAGACTACTAAAGCGACAACTCTGCTAAATTTCAGCTCTTAATGTTTATGCCAAAGAGAGTTATTGATTTTTTTAATTGGCTCAAAAAACGAGATTTTTTGCATTTTGCGAGGAAACCACTGGGCCAATAGGGATCCACCTGAGCTCATTTTGTTCGTCTTTTTGCCACGCATACTTCTATACTTTTTATTTTTTATTTAAAGGCTTATTGTTCATTTCCGACGCTAAAAACCATGTTTTACCATTTTTGCCATTTTTTTGAAGCCTTAGCGGAAAATATTTTTTATTTGATGATATCACAATCGATTGGCATTGTTTAATTCTTTACAACAAATTTTTTTCGAGCTAGTTAAAATTTCATGAAAAATTACCGACATTTTAGCTAATTCGATCCTACTAGTAGGCAAGGCACGGCTTACATGCTTTTCGTTTAAAAAAAAAAAAAGTGCATATAAAATACATGTGTGTTTCATAAAGGGGGATATACTGTTTCAAAAGTAGGACATAAATTTTAGTAGTGTTTCATCTGACGGACACAATTCGTTATTAAAGTTTTATTAATAAATAAATTAAATTACATTCTAAACAGGTTGAAAAATTAAAATTCTAAAGATCAAGACGAAGCGCTTCTGAAGAAACGAAATTTACGCTGAACAAGTCAATGTTATTTTTTTAATAAAAATCATAAGAAAACACTTGCCAAAAACCGTTCTAAATTGGTACCTTTACCTTATAACTCATAAAAATACTAACAAAAACAGTAGTTAAACTTGTGCAGAACTCTATAAAACTGTTTTTTCTTCTATTTAGACGTAATATTACATATTTATGTACCACGATTCCGTTGTTTAGTGTACAAGTTACATATATGTATAGTGTGCATGAAAATAATAATGATAATAATAATGATGCCGATGTTTATGATACTAGTGACAGCAACGACGACGACAACAAGAACGACCATAAAGATAACGACGATAATGAGGATAATGACAATCATGACGATGATGACGATAATGACGATGATGATGATGATGATAATAATAATGATGATAAGGATTATAACGATTATGACAATGATGACAATGAGGACGATAATGATGTTGATGATGATGATAACAATGATGATGATGATGATGATAATGATGAGGATGATAATCATGATAATGACGATCATAATGATGATGATGATAATGCTGATAATGATAATGATGATGATGATGATGATGATNGCTCGAAAGTGGTCGAGTTGTGCCGTCTCGAAGGCATTTTCTGTTCTCTCACTGACTTCGTATTCATATTACTACGTCACACTGTATTGGGAATATGCCTGTATCACGTGACATGGCGATATATATATATATGTGACAATTAGAGGAAAAGTAGTACAGGCCTTATGGGAGAAATTAAGTTTTTATTGTTCTTCGTGTTGGAAAAGGTATTGAATACAACAAGTTAGTGGATTACATATTTTTAGCATTACGAGAGTTAGTTTGTTATTTATTTCATACGATGAAATCGTTTATTAAGGCCGTAAACAGCGTTTTGAAGGTACGAAGTACAGTTTAACCTAAAATCAAGTTGCTTGTTTACCTGTGAGCAGGTGCAACAGCAACAGCAGCAGCAGCAGAAACGAGTAGCTCAATGTAGGGTTAACTGTACTTCGTACCTTTAAAACGCTGTTTGTGGCCTTAATGAACGATTTCATCGTATGAAATAAATAACAAACTAACTCTCATAATGCTAAAAATATGTAATCCACTAACTTGTTGTATTCAATACCTCTTCCACCACGAAAAACAATAAAAACTTAATTTCTCTCATAAGGCCTGTACTACTTTTCCTCTAATTGTCATATATATCGCCATGTCACGTGGTACAAGCATATTTCCAGACCCAGTTGGATGACGATTGTGTGGCGAATGCTATTTGAGTTAGAGTTACTGGTAATAAGATTATCGAGTTACATTATGTTAAATTTTGGATGCATCGCATATCGTCATAAGGCTCTCGTAGACTGGCTGTGCCTTGTATGCAAAATTCTATTCAATTGAAATAATTATCAGCTGCTTGTTACTGATATGTAAATATAGGTAAATCAATCTGGTAATAAAACTCAAACATGAGTTTTAACTACCTATAAGATCTTTTTTACTTTATTTGAAATAAAACTGCTTTCAATTATTGCATGTATATTATATTATTGTATGTATGCTAAGGCTTCAAAAAAAAAATGGCAAAAATGGTAAAACACGGTTTTTAGCGTCGGAAATGAACAATAAGCCTTTAAATAAAAAATAAAAAATATAAGAGTATGCGTGGCAAAAAGACGAACAAAATGAGCTCCGGACGAAGGAAAATTAAAAAACGACGGATACAGAGAAATTAATAGTAATGTTTAATGAATTTGTAGATGATCTAACTGAAAATTTATGAAGAATGTACACATAAATGATACAATAAACAGATAGTATTATAAAAGTATATATATGTTGTTTTTATACATTAAAAAATTTTATTTTATCGCAATAATATAAAGTTACTATTCTGTATAAGGTGTTTATTAGGATATAACATCTTTTTCATAAACACTGCATACTATTGATCTGAATTCAAAATAGTAACCCTTTTTGTCAATACTTAGCTATTACACTAATGGTTGCCATACCTTTTTGCTCCTTAGTCTCTAAACTCACGTTAGTGAGATTTTATGGTGTATGTTGTACATTTCAGCATAGAGGACACCTTGATGACAAGATTGACAAGTTGTAAAATTTTTATGCATTGGTGTACACGAGAGTACATATATATGTCGAGTTTATTGCCAGTGTCGATTCAGACAAACGTTTTCCAATAAATTATCATATTCTCAGGTTTTTATACTTATACATATTCACTGTCGGTAGTGTTTGTTAAGCTTGGCCAAACGATAATATTGTTATTAAAAAGATTTGTTAAATTTTTATCCGATTTTTTTTTTTCTTTTTTTTTTTAAGTGGCTAACCTATGTTACCTTTCGTGCCTATAAAATAATTTTGATAAAGATTCAAAACTATAAGATAAAAGAAGGATAAGATCAAAGAGTGGACTAATGGCACAGTTTACACAGTTGCGACACTTCTTATGAGAACAGTGTCTCACACCGCCATGTTCCTGGTAGTACAGTCCACACAAAATTTGAATAATACTAGTATTTCTTTTATACATTTACATACTGTCCAAGTGAAATCAAAAAATGAAGAATGCATGGTAGATAAATGTATATAATAGTAGATATCTCTTATTTCTTAGTCAAGTAAAATAGAAAAAAGCAGCATATTCAACTTCCACAATATTGTCTTTAGAATAGTAAAACCTTTTTATTCAACACACATGTTGAGGGATTTGAGACAAAAAAGCCTGTTTGACATGTCATATCGATATTATACTACATATTGGACCTATTTTAATATTAAGTCAATTATACGTCTCATTACATTGAGAATCACAGGTGTGTTCCAAAATTGATTGTAATTGGATATCAAAAAGTGTGGTTCACGAATTATTTCTGCCAAACAAACAGAAATAAATGATAAAAAAAGCTTGTAAAATAGCCGTACTAACATTTTGGTAAAATTCATTGCATGTCTCAGTGATAGTGGAATTTTATGGAGTAAAATTTTTTTTTCTATTAAATAAAAATAATTTTAATATGAAACAATTAAAAATTAACGACTGGCCTAATGAACGAAACATTAGTAAATTTACTAAACGTTCCAATATAAACATTTATCAAATGCACAATACTACTGGTATTTTCAAATTCATGAAAGCTTCGTTTTAGTCGTAACAAAAGAGCGTTCAAGTTATTTTTAAATTTTACTCGTATTATGCACCAGTGCACATATTTCTTGAAACTTCATGTGATACCCCCACCCCTCCTTAGCGCTACACATGTGTAGAGACTTTAATAACCTTTAAGTGGATTGACCAACCGCAAAGAAGAAAGCACGTATACGGTTTTAAAAACTTTCTCGTTAATCTATTATGCACCCTTCAAAGAGTTTTTCTTTTTACAACAAAGTTTCTTTCTGTTCGCTGTTCTCATTTCTGATGTTGTGGACGTGCTTGCTTACGTGCATGATAATCGCTTGGCAACGCTATGTTTTGATACTTGGTTGTCTGGCAACTGTGCTCGCGTCACTGGCACTTTCTGAACTTTACAAGAAAGGGCAAAGATAGCTTCCTCATTTTCTAAAAATGTTTACAGATGAGGGATGCTTTTTCTAAAAGATGCACGAAAAAATGACTTGACATGGCATAAAATTTTACCAGGGGGCAGATTTTTCGACGCCGATTTATCATCTAATTACGAAGCAACGCCAGTAAAACCTTTATAGTTACCCTAATTATATTGCCACCAGCATCAAACCAAAGTTTTATCGTTAAGAGCTTAAAAAACGATCAAACTTAAAAACAAACGAATTTTTCATGATTATTGATTTGGGAATAGCTATCAACAATTTCGTAAATTTACAAATTAAAAAAAGAACAAAGTTTGAAAAGTGAGGTACTGCTATTAAAGACTCAAATTTTTTCTGAGCAGTTATTATCCAAAAAAACTTTTCTACGATTTTTAAAAATATGTACCTGTCACATATGCGAGTTAGAAAAAATATGAAGTAATGCATAAGCCAGTGAGGCAAGATAATTTGCTAGAAAAAACATAACTTATAAATAATGGTACAAAACTACAAGTTGCAAAATTTTATTTTTTTATTTATTAATATATTTAATATTTTAGTCTCAGGATGTTAAATATTACCATGCATCGGTGAACCTTGCCTGCTTTTCGCTGATTTGATTACAGAGTTATTTCTATTGTTGAAAGCGATACTGAGAAGAAAATCATAACTCTACAAACATAACATTTTTTCAAATAATTTAACTATGAGATAATCTATGCCACTAGATAGAAAACATCACTTTAATGTACTGGTTGTCTCAGAAGACTAATTGCGACTTTGTATACTCCTTCTTTTGAATGTTAAAATACTCTTGTGTAATACCTGCTGTATATTCTTTTATTTTGTGCTTAAAAAATAAAAAATATTAATCAGACCTTTTAGTCGTCACCACTATTTTCTTTAACTCTAATCTTAATAAATTTGGCATGCGTTGGCTGAGAAGACACCCCGAGTCCACGAAACATCCTTGTTCCTTATAGCTCTAGCCTTATATTTTGATCCATAAATTTAATAACAATCCAAAACTTTATCCATATGGTCACATGGTTGAGTAGCTTCCTTTATAATTTCTATGACTTCGTCAAGATGAAAGATTTGCAGACCATTCTCAGCTATAATTGTTTCAAGTACTATACTGTCACTAGATCCATACGCTTTTTAATGCACTTGGATTGATACTTATATTTAAATTCCTCAACATTAACGACGTCTTCATATATGGCTTTATGTATCGATTGGCAAAACTACGACCAGTGTCTTATGTACGCGAGTTGAAAAAAATATTTTTATGAATTTCAATCATTCAAAATCATTGCTTATTTCGCGATACCTCCATTATTTACGGCGATCGGGGCATTAAAAGTTTGGGAAAAAATTTCAAATTTTAAATGATTCCATGGCTTTGGAGTCATTCGTAGTGATGTAGTGGGTTGTTTATATAAATAAAAAAAAGCCAGTTTGCTTAAGCTTTTTAACCTTTGAAATATAAAGAAATTAATTTCACGTAACACTAACGATATAAGTTAATACTGATTTCCAAAGAACACTAAATGATTAATGCAGGAATAAGATTTTTATGGCTTATGAGTATAAAGATAATTAATTGGCTTCAAGGGTGTCGTAAAAAAATTAAAATTAACTTTTTATTAAGCAAAGATAAGTACAGTAATACTAAGAATCAATTATGGGGGGTTGTGAGGGGCACAGGGATTCTAAAAACGGTATGGTGATATGTGAATAAAATAGATTAAAATAGTAAATATTACATTTTTAATGTGGAATAAAGGGGGCTTAATAAAACCTGGGGCTTTAGATGTTTATTGGATAGCCTAAGTAACGGGAATAATAAGCAATTTTCTTTCTATAAGCGGGGGGAGACGCTACCAAGATGTTATTCAAAGTGGTAGAGGGCAGTAGCGGAGCGGTTGTGGACAGCTCTACCAATATATTATATCCTTGTGTAGTTATTTGTACAGGTCATTTCTCACAACTTCCCCCCTCCGTAAAATGAGGAAAGATTCAGCCATTTTTTTCGTTACTTCAACTAATAACATTTTTTCCTCAGACCCCTACAGTCCCCCATCCCGTACGCGGTTTTTCTAAACTCCCATCGCCCCCTCGGGACCTTAGACATACTTGAATACATATAGTTATTTGCATACATTTTTCTACACCGCTCAGAAGGCCAATAGATGGAATTTATATATACGAATGATAAAGTTATTTGTTACGTATTTGTATTATATTGAATGCTAAATTTATTGCATTATAAAAATTTGTATGGAATAGTATAGATCTTTAACAAGTTAGTATAAATTATTAAATGTACAAAAATCACAAAAATTATCAGAAAAACATTAAATTAATAGAAAACCTGGCAAGTTTTATTTAGTTAATCTAAAAGTTACATGTGTGCTAAATGACAACCTTGAGCTATTTTTTTATAAAGTAAATTACTCGTTATGGTCGGATTTATACAAGCCTTCGCATTTAAATTCAGGTCGACCATTTCGGTTTGTTGCTCCATTTTATACTTAATAAAAGTGAATACATATGAAGTATTTGTTAACTTGTTCTGAACCTCAATATGTACAAAAGCCCCATTTTTTAGACGGTTCATGTTATATTATAAGCTTATCACAGCTCTTGTGGCTCATGGATGAACCTTAGAATTAATATAATAGTGTAGAGGGAAGACAGGCTTAATTTTGGTGGTAATAGAATGGTAGCGCAATTACTGCGTCTTCACAACATGTATGTTAAACGTACTTTTTTGGTACATGTAAGTAGTAAACCTGATATTAACACAATGCATAAGTAAATGATTAATTTTAATTAAAAAGTCGATCTTGTTCGAATGATTTTGAACGAATGTGCTCTAAAACTGAAGCTAATATAATTTAAAATCAAGTGTACTTACAAAGAGAAATTTTTGAAATTTTGAAGTTTTGCAGCCCCACCTTTTTTCAGTGTATCTATTCTTACGATGAGCAGTCGAAACTGTAGAAGGCTGCAGCAGGCTATAAACTATGGTGGAATTAAGCGCTAGTAAATTATAAGAGACAGTATCTCGCTAGAGAAAGCTTTGGATTGCTGAAGCCAGCAGTAGACTCATGTATATAGTAAATAGTTTGTGTATATCTAGCCTATGAATGTTAAGCCTTGCCTTTAGAAGGAAGCAAAAATTGTTTTTTCTACTTCGGGGAATTTTTCGTGACATTTGGATGTTTACTGCATTCTCGGTAGAAATAATAGTGGTCGTTACATAAGAGCCATTTAACTAGGCCTACCATTCAGTTATACTGTGGGCCGAAAATAGCCATGTTAGTTATGGCGCTTTACGACGAAAACTACTATCGTATGGTTACAGTGTTAGTAATTCTCATACAATCAACAAATAATATAAAAATTTTTTACAAACGCTTTATTACTATCACTATTCTAATAATTTTTTCATCATGTGTCGAATAGTTGAAACAAACGTTCTCCTTTCAAGCACATGTGTTGAAAAAAGTGACAAACTTTCGCAAAATAATAAAATTTCTTTTTCTGTTAATCGAGATTTTAACGGTAATTAAAAAATTCGGACTTAATGATGAAAGCTACGGTTCATAGAATGAATTAATTTTTAATTACCATGCTACGAAGCCTCGTACGCAACACCATAGTACAAAAAAGGAATTAAATCGTTAGATATGAACAGTTCTAATACTTTTTAAAAATTTTGTAAGTATAAAGTCGTATTTATTAATGTCAAAAAAAATTTGCGGCTGGTTCTATATTACAAGGTAATTTGGGGGGTTAACTCTCGTTAAGTACGAGACTAATTCAGTACAGTGGGGTAATATGGACTTAAGGAGGATAGAGGGGTAAAAGGGATTCATTGAAGAAATTGGACAGGAGTTATGGGTTTAAATTAATCATTTCTGGGGTGTAAGAGCTACTTTTTTTAGTAAAAACATAGCATTCAAAAAATAAACCTGTGTTTTTTTAATAACAAACCGGCTCCTTGGACAGTATTTTTTTCAGCGACTAGAAAGCTGACCACCGAGTCAACAACTACGCTCAGACAAGTAAAATTCTAATAATCGGAGTTATCTCAACGCTTACTATGATTTATTGATAATTTTAAGTATTTTTAGAGTTATGTACATGTATATAATATTAAAAATTAAAAGTGTGTCACCATCATAAAACTTACCTCAGACTTAGCGAGTTTCTACTTCTGAGTAATTATATTGTATCTACACATTTATGTGAGACGAGCCTTAGAATTGTTGCTCGAACGAAGTTTTAAACGCATAACTTTTTATGTTGGTTGTATCTCCATGCCTTTAATGTCCAGTTAAGCCTAAAACGATTTTAGAAAACGATTGAAATTAAAGTGATAATTGAACATGTAATTTATTTCGACAACTCAAATACCAAATATTTTTATGAATTTTTATCACAAAATGGTTTTCTTCATGAAAAATATAACTTATTTATACTATTATATGCTGTCACATTCATTAAAAATATGAACTTTGTATTTTTATCGTAAGCTTCGTACTGTTGAGTAGGAAGATCCCTATTACAGACACCTCAAAAATTACTTCTCTGACAAAAAAATCAGTGACATTAGGAAAAAGATTAACTTCGTTACGATAAGTACGCCAAGAATTGAGACTTCAATTACTTATTTTACAGGCCTGGCACTGTTCTCCTGTAATTAGACATGGACATAATAATAATATTGAAAAATACGGGATTGCTTTGCTTCTTTTATTTTATGGATAATTGGTGCCTACACAGGTTTGTTTGAAGTTATTGTTACAACGCAATGACTAATATAAAAACTTTATAATTTTTACGAACACTATGCTCCACAATCAACTGCATACCATCACTGATAGTGCTTTTAACTATATTTCAAGTTCATCAAGTATTACTATTGATACCCTTTTCTATACTGACTACTTTTAATCCACAACATAACAATACATATGACTGCCAGTGACGTGCACGTATACTATAATGTCCATTTCTCACACCCTTGTACTTTTTTTTGTATGATATAGTTACTCCTTTTTTTCGAATAGAAAAAAATTCGGTTTAATGTGCATTGAAAACTTTAATAAATGCATGAATTATGAAAATAACAAGTGTGAGAAATGAAAATTAAAAAAAAAACTGTTCCATTGTTCAATGCTCAACTTTAAACTAGTGCTATAATAAATAATATAATCAGTATTTGTTTAAAGAAATTTATTCCACTTACTGTAATCGAAACTTTTAGAAATTTCATGGGTAAAAGTGAATTTCATCTGCGTTAGCATTAAAAGAAGTTAAAATAACAGGTGTGAATTCGTCACAATGTTTATTTCATGTGGGGAGTATGGACTACCAAACTAAATTGTGTAATTGCAGCTTTTTCAGAGAGAAACTCTGTTAATAGTGCGCTGACCAAGTAAGTGCAGCGCTAAGTGTAACAAAAAAAAAAATAATGATATAAGTGGACAGCTTTCCCCATTCATTTTTTCCATCAGAATATAAAACATTGGGCGAATTACTTATCATCCTGGCGCATCTTTAGAATAGAAGAAATCTTGCTGCGCTACGTCAGTAGAGCATAAGAAACGCGCTCGTCACAGAAAACATACGCATGTATATAAAAAGAGACAAAACTGTGGAGCTGACAATTCGATTTTATCCAGTGTCCGGTGTTCAAGTGTGTTTGGAAAATAGTTGAAGACTTATTCATACTTATCAACGATTTTATTTATAATATTATTTTTAGTACAATCAAGCAAGATATTATGAGTATAATGAAGATTTCACAAGCCTTACTCTTCGTCGTTTTAATCTACAATGCTGTTGCGCTGCCTCGAGACAGTAATATGGTTTATTTTGACAATGACTTGTTAGAGATGAGAAATTCGAGATCAATGCTCACTGATATCGCCCACGAACTCATCCAACGATCTGCCAGTTCCAGCCAGGTATAACCGTATCTAAAACTAAGAGTGAAGAAATTGTTAATAAAAAAAGCATTTTCATGATTTATTTCGTGCTTTGAAAAAAATTTATAAAAAAGTATCAAATTGAAATGTTAATTGTTACTTAGGTTTTAAACTTAAATCTATCCAACCTCCTTTTGCTGTTGGTCTTGAAAGCAGTTGTTTACGGAGCTGGGTTTATCGGCAATCATTCTTTTAAAAGTCGACGAGGTGTTACCGCTGAAGGTAAAATTCCGGACCTGTTTTTTAATTAACAGATATGATTGATACTTTGAACCAATGGCGAACTTTTTGTTCAAGACAATATCATGTCAGAGGGCGAGATAGCTTTGGCTCTTGGGTACTTGATTGGCGATACCTGTCTTTATCGTGCCGCTTGTGAAGTTCCTCATACTGCTAAAGATTACCTTGGAGCTGCTGAAATGATCTTTGAAACTATGAAGCTAATGCCTCAGTAAGTTTCGACTCTTCATCAACTAATTCACTTCACTAAACACGTTCAACACTACAAAAATATTCAGCATTGCGTAGAATACTGCAAATGTTACGTTAAGTTTTTTTTTCTCTAAAAGCCTGCTCATGAATTGTTATCGGTTACAATTTCTCACTATATAGATGTGTTCTCGATCAAACCTTGAACATAGCTATACTGATTTTGTAATAAGTCAGAGAAAGCTTTAAAAAAAATAATACCTTGAACGTGTAGGGTTTAAATAACATAATACTTGATACAACAAATAAAAATTGCAAATTGCATGAATCCTAAATTAATATTTTATCAAAAAAATTCAGTAGTATCCTTTTTTTTCATAAGTAAGCTGCTACTTTGCTGACATTTTTTTTGTTTCAGAATAATACCCATCGATGAGGAAACATATGAAAAAACGTTATCGGAATTTCAGAAAGCTGTAGACCTTGGATTGAAAGATGAATGCCCTTTAGAATACAATTGTAAGAAGAGTAACGTACGCCGGTTTCTGCAGCCATCACAGTAAATCAAGAAAAATAAGGATAAAACATATTCATTGGTATACGTTTATCAAATTGAAATCGGTGCATACGTTTTATTTCTGCATTAGCAAACATTTTTTACAAATATGATCTATAATCCTTAAGCATTAATTATTAACAATAATCTATTGTTTAGACAAAAATCGCGTATATGTGTGGAGAAATTTTGTACCCGCTCTTTGTTGGAAGTTAAATAAGAAAAAGTCCGGGTATATATGCGTATATAACGGCACCGACAATGCAACATACTTTTCTTGTTGGTTATATTGAAATCGTTAAAAAATTTATGTACAAAAAAGAAAAAAATAGAGTGAAAGAGTTTTGTAAGTAAAATACAAAGTACACACTATTTTTTAAGGAATATACAATATCTGAGATATTCTAAGCTTATAAGGGTAAAAAAAATCATTGACTAATGCAATTTTTACCTACATAGTGATATAAAAATTGTCTTTTATCTTAAATGACACCTATCACGATTATACGTAAAATTGAACAAGTACAATTTCTTTATAAACTAAGCATGTAAGAACTCAGTGTTAAATTCGTTAATAATTTACAGTTCTGTCATTAAAATTGATTTTTCTTGCGTAATCGACGATAGATGGCTAATTTTATCATATAAACAAAAATAAATTAGCATTATCTCATAAGAAAAAAAATGAGGACAGGCTCAAGAGAGAAAGTGATAAATTTAAAATTTTTAAAAACTACTTCATTGCTCACTTTCACTCTTTTACCGGGCTCTTAGAAATTATAGCCTATCACATATTCCTGATTCTTTTGCGACTATTAATGATCTTTCCGAAAGTAACATGATTCATACGTAGGTCATATGTACTTTGTGCGTGTGAGTGCCTGGCTCGGGTCCTTGCGGTTCCAGTGTGTGTGGCCAACGGTGAAACCCACTACTCGCATTTTATCTTGACGCTTGCGCTCCTCTAGATCAGCCCATCTTACCTGTAACATAATTTGAGCAAATACATAAATTTTTAAAAATTGAGACAAGTAAAATCTAGAAAAACAAATTGGTAAAATTAAAAAAATTATGGCAATACGTAAAATATTTATTAAAACTTTAACGTAATTAAGATTATCCGGTATATTTTCAATTTTTATTTCTTATTACTTTTAACCTTCAAAAGTTAATCGCAATAATGAATTTTAATACGTAGTTCTAATTTGTCGACTTATTAATAACTCAAGTTTTTTTAGAAATGCGTGCGTATGTCCCGTCATTTAACTGTAAGTAAATTCAGTTGTACTTACACTCCAGAATATTCATTCGGTAGTTTTTTTACAAGCAACTAATCAACGTGATTGTCTTACATAATTAATAGGTAGTAGTTAATTGACTGCTGACTACAGTTCTGTCTAAATCTGACTACTAATTGTATTAAATTTTTTTTTATTATATTAGAGTCGCTTTTGACGCATGAAAACGCATGTAAAGTTTACAAAATTTGTTTCATCAATTTCTCAGGTTATAACCACCTAGAGTTGCTGAAACTTTCCATGAATTTTCATTATACATTTTTGAAGCTCTGCACAAATTGTTAAAAATTGACTATTAATTACTTGGAGTAATCAACCTCCTTAACATTGCACAAACCAACACAAAATGATTTTTTTTGTAACGTTTAATTTAATCAGTAAATAGTGATATAACTTTCTTAACAAGTGTGCAAATCAGTTGATAAACTTTTTGAGGTAGTACATAAACAATGCTTAAAAAGTGTTATATTATCACTAGCGTACTGTTGTCAAATTGTTAAAAACTGTGAACACTTTATGACACACTTTCTCCTACTATTCATACCGCTTTAATAGAGCAATTGTACAAAATGCAGTTAAAAAAAAAAAAAAAACTGTGTATGAAGCATGACTGCTAATGTAAAAAAAAGTACAACTCTAGACATTTGGATTTTACGTTGTATCTGATGGTTATAAGACGTGTCTGACGAACATTAGACAGCATTCTTACAAACGTAAGACTATGTAAACGCACCCTTAGGTATATATCAGGCATTCGTAACTAATTGAGGCGTGCCAATTTCTAAACGTGAAAGTGACACTTTAACTATGTTCCGAACAATTACATTACTAAGTAAGGATGAATTCTAATGGAAGCTTGTAAAATTATACACTAGAACATTTTCAATAGCTTCAGAATGAAATTTTAGATGGACAACACTTGGTTTGGAAATCCGGTAATTTATTTATATTACGACATGTTTAACAGTATTAACAAAAATTTTTAAAATCTTTTGTAATATCAAGTTGTATAAATTGTAATTACAATAAAAAAATTGTATTAAATCAACAATAATAGCGATACGTCTCAGCGTGTATTGAGCAGACTAGACAGAGGCAAAAGTATTTACGTTAGTGTAAATGAATTTTAAAAACCAAGTTGCATTATTAGCTTTTCAACATATTCAAAGTTCAAGCTTTAATTTATCGCTTTTTTCGTCTCACAATTATTGGCAATATAGTGTAAGATTTGTTTGGATATTTTTTTTTATACAAAGATACTTAACTAATGATTCCTTGCCGAAACAATGCGCTACTATTGTTTTTCAAATGGATCCGTTGATTGCATCACTACTAAGCATATTTAGTATAGTTAGTCTAAGAATTTCTTAAATTTGTATGCATTTGGTAATTTACTGAGATTTAAGAATTCTAGAGAGTTTATAAAGATTTACTAGACGTATTGTACTTTATTACACTTTAGTGCTGACGACGAATTTTAAAGTAATCGATAATATACCGCATGGATTAAATGCCTCGATTGAACTCCAGCTATCACAGAAAATTCAAACAATGCTTATCTCGCTTGTACTCACAGGATTTTCAATTATATATAGCCAAAAATTTTAAGATTTTTCTTTGATGCTCTACCTAGATTGCCCTGAACTTTTTTTTTTAATAGTACGAAAAAAATATAACTGTCATACATGCTTTGAGAGTAAGTGTACAAAATATCAAGGCCCAATATGCAACTAAAGATATTCAAGAAGCTATTTAGTCGAAAGATATGCTGCCACGTGCAGTCTGATGAAGAACACCCGTAAAAATTAGCATTGAGTGGTGTGTCTTTTGATTAAGTTTTCATCAATATCTTTGTTTATAAACAGACGATTACAATTAAACTTTTCTTCTCAATCTTTGTCTTTTAACGACTTACATGTGGCCAAAATTTAATACAGCTAGTAAATACAGTTTTAAGGAGGTACTACATCATAAAGAATTAACGGAAGAATTTTTTTAAAATTTAGACTACAGGTTGATGAGCTAATAAATAGAGTACTTGCAAAATTTCAAGACCTTTGATTGGTTTCGGACCGAGAAATTATTGAAACAATTTTTTGAGTTTTAACATTTCTTCTTATGAAAAATCATAAAAATTTCTTTTCCATTCTGAAATTCTGATTGAATTAACGGATGAATTTCGATAAATTGCATCTGTAAGTGCCATAAAACCTGCTTAAGATGTCTCCAAATGAAAAATATTCAATGGTTGGTTTTTTTCGTAACAATTCTTAAGTGCCAACAAAATTCCAATGTTAAAAGATAGGACATAAGCGCGCACCTCTAACCTTAAAGTGTCAAAAAGTCGGATCTCTCTCTTGCACACTCATTTTGACTTAAGTAGTTAGTGCGGTACTTCCTTGAAGATGTTCACGATGTTTGATTTGTAACAATTAAAAATAAAAAATAAAATGAATTGTTTACTATATAAGTACTTTTTTGCTGTTAATTATTTATTTACTCTTAACTGATAAAATTCTTCATTTGTGCAATATGACAATTCAGGTGTAATTATATTTGATACTGTTCATTTTTGAAAACTCGCGCACTTGAATGAAACCACATAACAGATAGACAGACATAGAGATATAAGGATCCTTATATCTCTATGTAGACAGACGTCTGTCTAATAAGAATGAAACTGTTTTTTACTATTTTTCTTGTTAAATATTGTCAAAAGTGATCCATTACTAGGAATTTGGCTAAACAGAATTAAAAAGAACGGAAATTTATCTACAAGTACGTTATAATGTGTCTTCTCAAGTTGTCTATTGCAAGTTGAAAAATGTCTGTACAGCTGATTTTTTAATGCACTGCTATTCGCTGCGTGCAAGTGTATTGGAGCAATCTGATGAAACGGTGCGTAAAGTTGCGCGGCCGTAAAGTTACGCGGGTATGACGTAAATGACAGTGAGTGAATCTCCACTTGCTTTATTTTATTAATTACCATTCGTATTATTGTAGATTACATTCAATATCTTTTTAATTAAAAAGCTGTGAACCATGAGTTTATCATGATATTATTTAATAATAATATTTACCTTCGGTGATTCGAAATATTAAAAAACTCAATAACACGCAATCAACAATATTATGAGTCCTCAAGAGTCCTGAAATTTTGCACATTTTGCCCACCATGGGCTCTTTAGATAGCTTTTTTTACCCCCTCCAAGGACTTGCATACAGCGAATACAAGCGTCGTGTTGAAAGGTACAACTTTCATCTGAAATATCTAGAGACTTTGGCCCACTTAGGGTACAAAATATTAAGGACACCGTTGGATTCAGCGGATCAAAATCTATCAAATAAAACTTATTTCATTTCACAGGTTTTCGCAAGGGAGGTACCTTAAATGTATATTCATTTGTCTGCTAATGCATACGGAATGTAAACTTATACGACTAACGATACATTATATTCATATATTGTCTGAAGACGGCAGAATATTAATTAACAGAATTATGGATAGTTTAAAGAGGCTAATACCTTACTTTTTTGCTAGTTGAACGTCAAATGAATGAAATCATTTTCAATTTACTATTCCAATAAAATAAATGAAATGCTTAAGCACTTGATATTTACTTAGTAAACGTTTCTAATTGTTAAACAGCTTTAAAAAATACTTTTTGAAAATTGTAAAAATATATTAATAAAACCCTTATCAGTATTTAATTAATATTATGTAACCTAAAATTATTTCAAGTTTGGATTATGTGAGTATTCCTTACATGCTTTTTTCCAGAATTATCATCTTTGTTGTAATAGTCAGGAACTTGTAAAAAGTCTTCCATTGTTTGAGGTTTGTGATCAGTTTTTCGCTTGATACCATCCAGCTTATCTGCAAACATCAAAGATTAATTTAATGTTACAACCAAATAGATAAATAGTATCAAAATACAAAATTAATATCTTACTTAATTTATCTTCTGCTTCCATTTTTTCCCATTTGCTGACAATCTAAAAATAAAAATTTTTGAAACCATATATTTTCTGAAGAGGCCCATAGCTAATAGTACTAAAGGGTACAGTAGGAACTTGCGTTCCTGAAAGACACAGATGTTGTACGTTTGTGCCCGAGTCGATTGTTTTTCTTACCGAGAGTGAAAAGTGCTATTTCTTGCGCTTACACTTTGCACCCTGGATAAGACAAATAAATTAGCAGAAATTTTTAGTAATAAAAATTTGAAACTCTAACTCCTTTTCACTCTCAATAACGGATTTACTATTTTGGGAAAGCAAGCCACTAAAATTTCAAAAAATAAAATTATGAAGTTAGATGCTTGTACGGGTTATTTTACAAAACTAATAAGGAACACTCGGTAACATTCAAGTTTTAAGGATTATATTATATTACTTTCTATGCAAAAAGTGTTTTTTCTCTAATATTCGAGGTAAGCCACGAGTAGTGGCAATACGTAGTGTCTGAAAAACCAATGAAAACTTTTCATATGTGAGCATTAAAAGTTAGCAGCCAAAACCTACCAATACAAATTATTAGCTTTTTTAAAATTACTTTTCTCAATTTTATTTATTACTTCAAAGATAAATTGTCGAATTGTATCAAAAGCTTGATTGTAACAAGTGCTCAATATATATTTTATAGCGAAATAAATTCTTACATGTAAAGCTAGTGTAGGTTAGGTTACGTCACACATAGCGATTGGTTGACTTGTGATTCAGAGGCATAAAAGATTTTATTCTATAATTTTAGTAGTCGATTGAGAAATAATACAATCTGTAGTTTTTTTTTGTAAGATACGCTAAAATATATCTGATTTGATTTTTTGTTTATTTTATAATTTTTTTTTTGATATCATATTGTTTACTTTAAACTTTCAAGTTGGGAGAGGTTTTAGTTCTCTTTTCAAACTACGTATCGCCACTGTAATCGCAACGTACCTCCGTTTTGAACCTTTTTTTAGAGTAAATACAAGTACAACTTATTAATTTTCGTACCATGGGTGAGAAGTACAAATTTAACCCGTGAGCTGCGAACGATTTTTTTTTGCCGAAAGCGCAAAGCGGCGAACGCTATCTTTTCTACCGATAGTGTTGTAAACGTCCAAGTGTTAAAAAAAAAACGCAAGAGGTAGAAAATTTTACACCTTCATAAAAAAAATATATTTTAGACATTATAAGAATATAACAGCAAGTATTACAAACTTATATTGAATACGAATAGTTTATGATCTTTTTTTTAAGTGAATGAGAAAGAAATTTTTTTAACATCATCAAGTTATGATTAACTTTACACATAAGAATAAAAATAATGTTATAACTTTCACTTTTTTATATAATTCTATATAATCCACGAACTGGGTCACAAAATAGCGGACAAGGTAATGGTGGTAGGTAACTAGATACTCCTAGAGTGTCACTAGGCTCTCTTCCCTGGCGCCCTTTGAGCTTAACTTGATTATTACAAACAATCTCCATACACAGGTTATCGAGAAGATGATGTCGCCAAATGTGCATTCTCAAACGTATTTTTAACATTTGACAAAACTATTTAAAGAATCAGTAAGATATTTAAATATGTTATCACACAAAAATTTCGAAAAGTCCAGCACTAGATTTATTAAAATGTCAGCACAATTCCGTTGATATAGTGTATTAGTATGAGGCGAGCAAAAAGAAATTCATGTACGTATATTAGTTTGGTGTCGAAGCAGTTGATTGATACGTTATTGACAATGAAGACATGATTAAAATTATAACAGAAAATGCTCCAGTTAAGAACGCGTGTTAAATCATGGACCGTTCACAGCTTCATATCTAGTAAAATTTGTGACGAGTGCACACTTTCCTCTAGATTACTAGGTGCGAAGGCTTTTAAGCATCTTCGAGCTTAGTGATCGCCCTCGACAGACGCTTATCAGAAGAGATAGAAAAAGTATATTCTGGCTTATGGACGCAAAGCTGTACATCCGAGGAAAAAAAAATATGTAGGTATATTTACCACGAATTCTGAGTCATCTTGGCTGTCTTGACTGTCATCATTGGTGGCAGGTGTTTCATCTGTCTCTTTTTCGTTAGTTTTATCCTTTTCCTTATTTTTATCCTTTTCCTTGTTTTTATCATTTTCCTTGTCTTCTTCTTTTGGTTGTACCTCTTGGGCATCCACCATCTCAACCTTTAAAAAAAATGTATTTATTGAATAAAAAATATCATTGCAAAACTCGATAAAACGTCTGAATAAAATTTAGATGTTTAGTTATTTGCTTCTTTCACGATTCTTTTTNTACCCTTAAAAATCTTTTTTTTCTAAAACGGTAAAAACGGTTTGATGGTTTTACAAACTTTTAGGAATTACTGAACCCATAGAAATTTAATTGAGTTCATTTAAGTTGTCTTTTCACCACGCATTTTTACCGTTAAAGTTATTTTTTTTCTAAAATCGTAAAAACGGTTTGGTAGTTTAAAAAAAAACTTTTTTTTATATGCTAGACAACATCCGCGTCGAAACTTCAAATTTTGAGGGTTTGGTGTTTTCATTTGTGACGTTATAATCAAACAAAAGAATAGAGAATAAAAAACTCAAGTTATTTACTATATTTTCGACTATGTGACTATGCAATTAATAGTATGTTCAGTTAAAAATACTATGCTTACGTCTTCAATGGCTTGTTCTTGAAGCAATGATGCAACTTCCAATTTATTGTGGTGACTCGGTGTTGGTTCAAAGTAATCAACTATCCTGTTGATTTCATCTTCTGATCTTTGGTGAATATTTCGCTTGAGGCATATTTGTACATCCATTTCCATTTCACAAACGTAAACTTTGAAGCCTTTTGTTTTGGCAAAACTCCACATTTCTTCGTAGTCTGTGATTTTTTCATTAACACTATCTAGTATGATGAAGTTAAAATAACCATCAGTAATATTTTTCTTAAAGGCTTTTTTCAAATGATTGACGTATTCTGGCTCCATAGCTTCTTCATATTTATACTCCATGTCCTATGATTGAACAATGATTGTAATATAATTTTTATTTGTAGATATAGTTGTCAAACAAAAACTCGTAGAAGAATTCTTACATCAGCGTTGTCTTTTTTATCATCTTTTTCAACTAAGAAGTAATCGTCAATACTGAGTATTCTTGGTGCAGAACCTCCTTGAGAAACTTCTTTATCCTAAATTAAAAAATTGTAAGATCGTGAATTATACACAGAAAACAGTCTCACAAAATGATTTTTTAATTCTATATTTTTTAGCTGTTAAACATGTGTCATGATTTTGTTGATTAGTATTGCTTTCATTTGAAACATGAGTATCTCAACTATAAGTCGAACCTGAGCTCAGTCAAAAGCTCGATATTTGACTGAGCCACCATATGAGCTATCAACTTTATTCCTATCTTAGACAATTAAAATCTTTTCTATAAACGAAAATTAAAATAAAAGTATTTTTTACCTTGATTATTTTTGCCACGTATGATTTTCCACTTCCAGGTGGACCTCGAAGAATAATGGCAATCTTTGGTGGTCTCGTTAACCGACTGGGGGGAAGTAATAAATCTTCGACCACAGTGAGATTCGATAATTTTGGCATTTCCAGAATTTTCGGTAAACTATCGGATACATTATGCTTGGCTTCTGATTGGCTATAATTACATATTAATAATTAATAACAGATAACGAAGTAATCGAAAAAATAGACAAAAGCTATACGTAGGTAAATTTATCACATATCACATATTTAAGAATCATTAATTTAATTATGGTAATAATTTATTTAAATAATCATGAATTAAATATGATTGAAGATTTAATACATATAAAACATTGATTTCTGATTATAGATTATATTGTATAGACAACATAAAGTGTGATCATTGAATAAAAAATTATTTATTCCTGTTACTTTCTAAGTTTTCGAAATTGTGATTTTCTGCAAGATATTGCAACAGTAATCCTTTCTAGTCTAGTAAAAGTAACTGCAAATGAGCATATATATTCATTTTAGTTTCGCAGTTTGTGTTAGCATATGTTGTTTTCAAATTATTTCTGTGTTTTTTGATGTCTGACTTGGGGTATGACTTGTAGAACATTTTTTTTAATGCTGCAATATTATACTCATTGAAAAAATATTTAAATCTCCACTTAAACCATTGCAATGAGAAATAAAACAAAATTTTCTAATAATGAACATTTGAGACCTGTATAATTTTATATCGTGTCTTAATTGATAGTGTGAAATTAAAAATATCTTCAAGATTGGTGAAAATATGAAGTTATAGACGATTAGAAAATAGTTACGATGTAGTGCAACTTTTCTTACACAAATAAGAAAAATATGCATGCAATCATTATTTTTAAACCTACTGTAACTCAACATAATCAAATAATTTTGATGAAAATTTTTATCTAACACTTTGATTTTATATCTTAGTATATAGAAAATTTCACCATAGTTTCTTAAAGCAATAAATGTATGTTTTTAATATTCATTCAATGAGATAATTCAGGAAGCTTTTTGTATGCTGTCAGCGCTTTCACTGACCTTAGAGCTTACTTTTTGTGAGATTCATATTAAATGACATTTTAAGGCACTTGCTACAAAGGTTTTTTCGAAAAATTTCTTATATATGGAGTGAAAATGTAAAATTAAAAAAAATATATTTTTATCCTCTAGTTTTATAATTAGATTTAAAGTGTACTTGAAAAGATATTGGTCAGACAAGAAAAATATACCAAATACCCTTAAATATAACTTTTTTTATACTAAAGTGAACAAATTCAAGTGAAGCATGTCTACTAAAATAATGTACTTAGAAATGATTTCAAGATTTGACAAATCGATAATATCTTTTAGTATACGTAGATTCCATAAGAATCGTGAAAGACACGAGTGTCCAGAAGACTTAGAAAAATGTTAAAATATACAATAATCGGGTTGAATTAGCCGATCAAAGCCTAAAATAAAGATATTCAATAAGTTGAGTTTTTTACTTTGTTTAAATATTCTGTATATTTAAAAAAAAAGTTTTTTGTTATTAAGAAATGCACAGTAAAAAGAAAAAATTGAATGAGCTTTGTTGATTCCTAATCGGTTCAGTAATTTTTGAATCAATTACAAAAAATCTCATTTATCTAGCGAATACGAGAAGTTCCATACTTAAAGTTCTGCTTGTGCATCAAAAGTCTTTAGGCACCTCAAAGCCCGTACACGGAGTCATGACATTACATTTATTCTGTAAAAATCAACTACAAACTCTCCATAACTTCGTTAAGTTCTATTCAGGGTGAGATACTGGCCTAAGGTTTTTGGTGCGCTGAATCAGAATTTAAAATTTGTTCATCACGTTAAATTTTCCAGATAACTTGACCCAAAATCATAAAAAATACCGTTTTTGCCAAATTTTGAAGTTATGTAGTACCGTAAATTTTTCTTCTGTTAAAATACACTAAGAGATATTTAAAGCGTCAATCTTATTAGTTTAAATGCCGTTAAGTTTGCTCAAGAACATTTTTATGTCGAGATATTGCATTCTCAAGTTGACATGCTCGTGAATTAACCTATATCTGAAAACCCAATAAGTTAACGTAGACACGATAGTCAATTTTTTTATGAAAAAGCCAAAAAATTGTTTAAAAACCAAGAAAAACGTCATGTATATAAAATACAGTAAATCTGAGCTAATACACTGACATTCGAGTCATGTAACCCTTAGATATCACCCCAGTTCAATCACAAAAACGTTGACCTGCCTAAATCTGTAAACAGTGAGTTTAGTGAAGAGGCCATGTAAACAGTTTCCACCCTCCCCAAAGCCATTCACTAAACACTTAAGAAACGTTTCTACTAAATCCCAAGCACGATATTTTATCTCATCCTGGAAAGAGACCCAATAACCCAATAACCCAATAACCCTTTTAATAGTTCATAGTCTATTTCTTCGTTTAGAAAGGGTGATTTTAACAGGTAAAATGGGTTATCCTACTAATGGTTTGGTTCCGAGAGGATAATTGGTCAAAAGGTTAGCGAGGAGACGAGTTAGCTTGCTTAGTCTGTTAAATCAATTTATTTGAAGTAAAAAATAAGTGGTCAACTTGATATTTTTAGGGTTAGGTTTTTCAGCCTGCTTGGGTTTGGCAGGAGAGTATTTCAAGTATTGAGTGGTTTGGAGTACACGGATTAAGTGAAGACACTTGAAGTGCAGAATTGAATTACAAGGGAAATTAGATTTATTGTAAAAAATATAAATTTCACAAGGTAGCTTACTTGTGGTTAGGTAGAGGTGATTTTTAAGGGTCAGATGGATTAGCCTGTTTGTGATGAGGAGCTCAGCTAATTCAAGAAAAATAAGCGACTAAGCTTGCATGTGGTTTCGTAAGGGTATACTTTCTAGAGATTAAGAGGTTAGTAAGGATTAGATAGGTTAAGGTGTAGTAGGTTAGCACTATAAAATATATATATATATAAAAAAAAGATTTATTTCAAAATAAATAAGCGACTAATCTCGGTGTTTTTAGAATGAGGCATGTAAGCCTGCTTGTAGTTTGATAAGGGTGGTTTCTAGAGGTTACATGGGTCGAATATCAGCGTATTAGCCCAGATTTACTGTATTTAGTAAAAATTAAACTTTTATTGATTTTTCAACAACTTTTTTAATTCTCTATACAAACTGTATTGACTAAATCGTGTTTATGTAAACTTGTTGGATTTCCAGATATATGTAAACTCACGAACACGTAAACTTTGAAATACAATATCTAAGAAAAAAAAGATAAGTATTTAATCACACTCAACGGAATTTAAAAGAGCAATACTGACACTTTAGGATCCTGAAGTACATTTTTGCTGAAAAAAAATTTGTGGTGCTACATAACATCGAAATTCGGCAAAAATAGTGTATAGGTTAGAATTCCTCAAAAACTCGACGTGATAATACATTTTTAAGCCTTGAATTTAATTCAGCATCCTAAAATCTTTAGGATGTATATGATAAATTTAGCTTTTTCACCTCTGTAAGCCTGTGTAGTAAAGAATTGAGGTGTAGGCAATAAGTATGCAATATTCCATATTATTCACTGACAATCGTTCATATAGGAGTAGAGAAGTCCTTACGGTAGTGACTTAAGGTAGCTTATTCTGATGGTGACGTATAAAGGTTGGGCCCTACAGAGGGTCTCGTTTGTTTATTTGTTCAAGATACCGAATATTACATGTACGTTACTATAAAAGAAGAATTTTTCACATGGGTATACAGTCACTTTTTCCATACAATATTTCATAGTGTCCCCTGATGCACCCTTATTTTTTCGATATTTCGAAGCTTACGATTTCTTTAATCAGCATCTAGTTTTATAATTAGATTTAAAGTGTACTTGAAAAGATATTGGAAGATATGTGATTTAAGTTCCAAGATCTCTTTGCACACCTATGTTAAAAGTAAATTTTTAAGCGACTCGTTTTTAGTTTTTTATAGTGACATAGTTCGAAATTTCAAGGTAATTCGTTAGTAATTAGGATGTTTCAATTTCGTAATGAGCCACCTTAAACCATCAAGTACGATGCATATGTGTTAAACGGAACACATGTTCTACCTAATTTCGAAATCTCGATCTTAAGTAAGTAGGGACGAGAGTTATAAATTATATAAAAAAAGCGTTTTTTTCATTTTACTTAATAATTACTGAACCCATCGAAATTTATTTAAGTTCATTTAAGTAGTCTTTTTACCACGCATTTTTACCCTTAAAAATCTTTTTTTTCTAAAACGGTAAAAACGGTTTGATGGTTTTACAAACTTTTANCGTCTTTGTTAAAAGGAGGTCTATTTGGTCCGAATACGCCTGGTGCAGAACCGAAGTTTCTTTCCATTGATTTGTCGTTGCCAAATGGTGGTTTGTTAGGCCCGAATGGTCCAGGACCATGATTTTTGACTGCATCCATGGGCCCATCTTTACTAAACATAGGTCCGTGTGGTCCAAAATGATGAGGACCAGGACCAACGTTTCTATCATTTGGTCCGTCTTTGTTAAAAGGAGGTCTATTTGGTCCGAATACGCCTGGTGCAGAACCGAAGTTTCTTTCCATTGATTTGTCGTTGCCAAATGGTGGTTTGTTAGGCCCGAATGGTCCAGGACCATGATTTTTGACTGCATCCATGGGCCCATCTTTACTAAACATAGGTCCGTGTGGTCCAAAATGATGAGGACCAGGACCAACGTTTCTATCATTTGGTCCGTCTTTGTTAAAAGGAGGTCTATTTGGTCCGAATACGCCTGGTGCAGAACCGAAGTTTCTTTCCATTGATTTGTCGTTGCCAAATGGTGGTTTGTTAGGCCCGAATGGTCCAGGACCATGATTTTTGACTGCATCCATGGGCCCATCTTTACTAAACATAGGTCCGTGTGGTCCAAAATGATGAGGACCAGGACCAACGTTTCTATCATTTGGTCCGTCTTTGTTAAAAGGAGGTCTATTTGGTCCGAATACGCCTGGTGCAGAACCGAAGTTTCTTTCCATTGATTTGTCGTTGCCAAATGGTGGTTTGTTAGGCCCGAATGGTCCAGGACCATGATTTTTGACTGCATCCATGGGCCCATCTTTACTAAACATAGGTCCGTGTGGTCCAAAATGATGAGGACCAGGACC